TTGTAGGTTGAAATGAACTAAGAGTAAATTTGTCATCAATCACATGAATGCTCATGAATGCTCGCATCTGAATCCAAGTGATAATCTTGAGATTCCCTAATTGACATATTGGCTTCTAAGTCTACTGATTCACAATCAACCAAGCCATCTTCACTATTGTCCTGGTCTAAAACAACGTTAGCTTGTACCTTAACACGCCGCATGTTGGAGGCCTAAGCTGGAGCTGTGAGAGATGCTCATTCAGTTTCTTGAGATCACAATCTTATTTTTAGTGATTAAATCCGCCATCGATAGTTACATCGATTTGATTGAATTGGCCCGTTAGAGTAAGTTACTCTAGCTCAAAAATATTGTGTGGTACTTTGTTGGGAAGATTGCCTTGAGATCGCGGCTTGCAAGAGAACCAAGAGACAGCATCTGCAGAAACTTCCTCTCAATGACTGTCAATCTAGGTTCTATCAGTTTGCAAGCGCTGCACGAGGTCGGTAAAGACTGGTGGTGGATTTTGAGAAAAATCACTACTGAATTTTGAAACGAATGGAGCCCAAGACAAGGGGAATCTCTTAAGTGTATAGTGAATAAGATCACTATTAGAAGAATGATGTCCAATCACTCCGAGATGTGTTTTGAAAGTTTGGATGATCTGAAGATAGACATCGACTGTAACAAGAGCACGAAGCTTGACAGTAGCCAATTTTTCAGTTAGCATAAGACGTCGCTAAGCATTATTAGATTGATAGAGAGTGTGCAGATAAATCCACAACTAAGAGGGGTTGTTCTCATATTCAGCTATAGATGAAAAGATATCAAGTGATACACAAGCAATTGCAATGGCTTTAATTTGTCGGCGTCAAATAGTAACATTGTTAGCACCGTCAAGGGGAGCAAGATCAAAAACAGTGCCTTTGTATACTCCTTTGTCTCTCAGCATCGTCTTCAAACGGATTGACTCATTCATGTTGTTGAGTCACATAGTGAGTTTCTCCTCGGGCCGTAACGTGAAAGCAAAATTATATTGAGATTTTCCATGGCGGTTGGAAGGATGCACTATCTAGTGAAAAGCTGCAGAGCAACTGCTCTTGGAGTAACAAGAAAATTTGTGATTACTATCACAAATCATCCGCCGCCAGAGGATCAAAAGAAAGCTCTAATAGCATGTTGTGAGTTACACACAGTATGCTTTACTGAACAGAAGATTACATTTAAATAGCGGCTCACAAACACATGATGAGTGTAGCAATGCACTCAAACCTAAAATGTATCGCTTGGATGAACAACATGAACTAATCAAAAGGATAAAAGTATAAGGTGAACATCCTAATACAAATGCTAAAGTTAGACTCGTTGAGATACTAACAATATTTTACAAAACAGTTATGAGTATGCAATACCTCCTCTAGCCACGAACATTGCAGCAACGAGTGTCAGTGCTGATCTCTTCTGTGACGAAAGCAACGACTATTGCTGTAGTGCATGAGTAATCTGTGGAGATGACATTGTGAAGACGTGGAACCCCAGTCACTTTTGCACGTAGGAGCAAGATCCGTGAAACATTATCGTGTAATGCTTGAGCAAGGCTTGGCATATGACTCAGCACAATAAAACATTGAACAGTTGAGATATGCTACTCCCCTAGACAAACTTGAATACAAAGATTGATAAACGATCAATTACTTTATTGCTAGTTCAAAGTACCAAGTTGGAAATGTCTGGGATTCAAGAAACTTCTTCTTAACATAATTTTAGGTATCATCACGTTTAGTATACACTTCAAGAATGCATTGTCAAATCTAAGAGTTTTTTAAGCAGTTCATTAGAATTGTTCTTTTGCACGTTTGACTTTTCCTGTAAAATTAAACTTCTAACGTAAAACGGAAACTCTGATCATAGCCTCCAAACTCAAATTCTGAAAATTTGCTCCTCAGCATTCAAAGTTGCTCTCCCTACGAGAAATCACTTGATGACTTATCAAAATATCAAGAGCTCGACACTTCTTTGATATCATTCACAGTTGAGTGAAATATTTCTCTCGACTACAAATCTACACGAGAAGTTTGTTGAAAATAGAACAACAAACTTTGAGTATTGTCAATTGAACGAGACAAAGATACTTTTGATACCACTCACAGCAAAGTAAAAAACTTGTATCGACTACAAGTGCACGAGAAGTTTCTCAAAGACAGGATAAATAACTTTGAGAGAAAAAACAATCCAAAATTGTATTGAAAAAACAAAAAACTATTCCGGTTGAACTTGAGTTAATTGTGAGCTCTCCTTGTTTTGTCAATAGAAGCTCCGTCACCATGTTCTTTCACTCATAGGCATCGTATCAAACGCTATTTTAGTCAGATCCACCACCAAATTAATCAACTTGATACCATTTGTAATCGTAGAACCTGAGAATCATCAGTGACAAAACATTCAAGCTAACCACTTACATGAAATAGACAAAGTGTTTAACATGGTTCACCCTCAAGGGTTATATCCACGGGGGAAGAGCATCGTGAGATTGTACAAAACGTTATGTCTGGTAATACACAGACATTGGGTATATAAATCCAACACCGGCGACCAATCTAGCTATAAATAGCTAAACCTGAGGTTACTTCTTAACCAAAGTTAAACTCAACAGATGTATATTATATATATAAATTTTCTATTGAAACTATATTTTAAAAGTTTCAAATAAACTTATTATCATACATTGTTGCATGTATTTGTAGAAAAATTACGACTATCACAACTCTCATGGAGTTGAATATGAGACAAGATACAAAATTTAATCTGAATTAGATCTCAAAATTCAATTTCAATCATACATACAAATGATAAATTTTTAGATGTCAATTTTAAATTAATATTTTGTTATTTGAAGTAGTATTTAATTACATATTTTATATTTTATTATCACATCTATTATTAAATTTAATCATAATAATATACTAAATTTAATCATAAAAATATAAATAATACTAAAATTAAACATATTATTGTTTATTTTGAGCAAAATTCACTAATGATTGTTATAAAAGAATACTTCAAATGAACAAAATAACTAATGTTCAATGGGAGTAAACACAAACTTTAGAGAAAAACAAGAAAAATTACATTGTTTGCAAAAAAACGTATTCTTTTAGTACATTATTTTTTAAGTTCACAAAAATTGACTTGAAGATGATATCTATACTTCAAAAAATTATTGAAACATTTATAACAATAATGCAAGCAATGTTTAAAACAATTACGGTCTTAACCTTAGATTACTTACTTCTTCAAAAAATAATAACTGATTATGAAAAATGGAATATTGAATATTACAAGATGAATCATTTTTAATGATATTCAATGGTATATACTATGTGCAAATTATTGACATTCTTTTCATTAAACATCATTATCACAATCTATTACGATCTCTTGATTTTGTTATGATAAAATGAAAAGCTTCATAGAAATATTAATCTCAAATCATTGTAAGATAGTATTTTTAAAACAAAAATTAAGTTTGTAGTCAAATAATAAAAGAATCAAATCAAATTAAAATTATATTTTGTGATAATGATTTTTTCATCTAGTCTTAATAAATAAGAGATTAATGAATTCTTCACAATACATATTAAAATGACATATTTTTTATAAAGAATTTTAATTTTAATTATTTTTATTTAATTTTTTAAGAAATAAAAAATATTTAATTTTAATTTAATCAAGATTTTCATTGATATTGATTTTTTTATTCTAATCGATTTTTTATGATTCCAATCAAAATACAAAAAATTCCATTCAATTATCAATGGCAACGTCGTTGTTACGATTTATTGAATATTTTTAAATTCTAGGATTATAATTTCATTGTTTTATCTCAGAAATATTCATTTTTAATGATTTTATTATGATTGATTATAATATGATGCTAGAAAAGAAACTTATGTGTGTAGTATATATAGCATTGTTCTTTTGAATCACATATTTTTTTCACATTTATTATGATTTGAAATTTGTATTTTGAATTGAAGTGAAATTTTCATCCTACATTCATAAAATTCAAAGCAATATTTTTTTCAATAATTTTTGTCACCAAAATATTACTTTTGAAATCCTTCAAATCATACTAAAGTAAATCTTCAAGAGTTATATAGTTTGCTCGATGATATAGTTCAATTTAAGTTTTTCATTCTAGTGTGCATCAATAACTTGACATACCGTTGTTTTATAGTGATGAAGCTTAAATTATAAAAAGCAATTCTTAAAAAAGGAGTTGTCAACAAAATTTCACTATACTAAACTCCAGTAATATGAATTAAGTTTTCTTAATTCTAAAATAAACATTTACAATTTATAATTGCATTCGAAGATTTTTACAAAGGATGCATTATTGATGATGCAAAGATGGTTAGAGAATGCATTCGGTTTAAGAGAGTTCTAGTCATACTTTAGGCTTCTTTGGTAGTGCAAAGGAATATAAAGATATTATGGTTAGGAAGTTTAATGCGAAGTGACAGATTACACTTTTAAAATTAAATCAATAATATATTTTTTTATAAATTTGAAGTTGAAAGATTGGTATTATTGGTTGTGGAAGTTTGCCAATCATATCATCGAGAGATACACATAGAGTCAAAACACATGATGTGCAAGCATGGAACTAAAAAAAGGGGAAAATCATGTCAAGAAAGTCAAGAATGAAGAAACTCCTCCAAACTATATCCTTCTGAACTGCCTGTCCGAGCACGCAAATTTCGGTCAGGGCACTTCCTTCGGAAAGGGCGAATGCAATAGGCTTTATAAGTTATAAAGCCTAAGTTATAAATTATAACGGAAACTGACAAATTGCAAACTGGTTTATATTACTGGTCGGTACAGTTGGCTGGTTCGGACTGAGGCCCAGACATGACACGACATGACACATAGGACGTGCCTGAAATGAGCTGACATGGAAATGCGGGAGATGCAGTAGCAGCGCAGCGCAGCGTTCTGCCTGAGGACGAGATGGCGACGGCGTGCGTCGATGCGATCGATGCGAGAGCGTCGGTGAAGCGGGCTGAGAGTTCTGGTATAATTGCGCGTCCGCAGAAGACGTTGCGCAGACGTTCAGCCGAGGCTGAGCAACGGATCCACGAAGAACAGGACTCATTGAGAAGAATCTCCTCTTGAGCAGCAGCAGCAGCCGCCGGAGAGAGGACAGCAGAAGCGCAGAGGAGTGGAAGGAAGGAAGGGAGGAAGGAAGAAAACAATATGGCGGCCACTTTGAATCACATCTGTCAAAGCTCGTCGTCCGTGCGGGTATTGGCTTTGAATGGAGAGGTTCTTGATGCTCACAAAAGCAGATCTACCTCCGTCGCGGGCAATGTGCACTACTCTCTGTCTGTTGGCTGGGGAGCCCGTCGACTACATGTAAACAGGAAAGCTTTGAGTGGGAAGAAGTTTGGTCCAGCACCTGCAGCTGACATCAGAGCTACGAGTGGAGCGGAAGTAATCCAGCAGAATGTGCCCGCAACGTGCGATTTGAAAAGCTTTCAAGAAGCTGTGGAGAAGTTGGAAGTTGATTTGGTGACGGAGGCGGACTTGAAAGAAAATGGTTTCCGAAGCTCTCGACGAACCAAAATTTGCTGTACTATTGGTCCAGCTTGTTGCAGTTTTGAGCAACTTGAAGCTCTGGCCAATGGAGGGATGAATATTGCGCGCCTCAACATGTGTCATGGCACGAAGGAATGGCACAAGAATGTGATTAAAAATATTCGCCACCTGAATGCTACCAAGGGATACTGTGTGGCTCTTATGATGGACACAGAAGGAAGTGAAATCCACATGGGAGACCTGGGCGGCACAGCGTCTGCTAAGGCTGAGGTTTGTCCTGCCGACGCTATTGAGTTCAGAATTTCTAGTTTCAAGCCATGATTTGATTAGTATTATCGAATCAATATGTTCTTTGATCAAAATGTTAAAGACTGTGTGAAGTTGGAGATACAAGAGTCTAAGCTGTACTGAGAAAAACAGAGAGGCTCTCACTAAAACGTGGAAGTTATTTCTGGATCCTGCCAGTTCACTCTCATTTCATAGAACAGCTGGAGAGGAGGCTTCAAGAAGCTGCTGGTTTTTCAGCATGGAAATGAGTTGCAGTCAGACATAGAGTGGAATTTTAGTGAAATAACAGGGCTCAGAATCAGAAATCATGTTTGTCACTCGGCGTTCTGGAGGGGGACCTTACACCTTACTACTTACTTGTTGTTTGAAAGTCTGATGTGAATGATCTCAACTGAAATAAATATTGAAATGGGAGAGGATTAAGAAGTTCATGGTTGCTTTGGAGTGTGTATAGGATGGTGAGGAGTGGACTTTCACAGTGCGCCAATTTGACGGACCTCTTCCTCCTTGCACTATTCAAGTTAACTACGAGGGATTTGCTGAAGGTGAGACTCTACTTTGTTTACGGTGTTTGAATAAGGTTCACAGACAATGCACTCTTTTAAGAATGTGGTGGTTACGTGAATCTTCGAAGGTTAGAATCTTTGGCTCGCAGCAGCAATTCAAATATCTGAACGAATGAACGCATTGTGGCGCCCAAGATCACTCAGCGCACATGAAAAGAGTTGTGCAGGAAATGAAGCAAAACTAGCGCTAAGTGACTCCTGGGAAAAATATTGACATGGAAAGGAGCAAGAATATCAGAGGCACTTGCTGCTAATGGTTCTCACTTTTCGTGAAAGCATAAAAAATGTGGATATGCTAATTCAACCGAGTCGTTGAAAGCTACAAATTCTGAATCTCCTCTAGACATCACTGCTGTGGTGCGGTGAGCCGTTTTTGAACACACTGACAAGGATATGTAGAAAATTATCTCGGGAGCGCCAAAATGGGGTTGAGAAAATGGTAATTGGTGAGCATGAGTAGCCCATTCCATTGATTAAATAGCAAGTGGATGGACCTCTCAGCAGCTTTTGTGAAGACTTTTTTGTCCTTTCCTCTACTCATCTGGCCGTGGAGTTTGACGTTGAAGATTACTTTTCAAGATGTAGATAAAGCCACATAAAGCCACATCAAGAAGCCAAAATCGATAACCTAAACTCTTGAGAAGCGTCGCGCTACAGTTGTTCTACAAGACTGAGAGACTGCCAGTCACGCTATCACTGAATTCGCTCTTTTAGATATAAAAAACCATTTGACTTTGTGAAGTCTACATCCCTTGGGAAAGTTTGTGCATCAGCTGATCTGAAGTATGTGGAAAATGTGACAGATGTGAAAGCAGGAGATGAGTTGGTGGTAGATGGTGGACTGGTGAGATTCGATGTTTTAGAAACGATAGGGCCGGATGTAAGGTGCAAATGCAGTGATCCAGGCCTGTTGCTCCCCCGTGCAAATCTCACTTTCTGGCGAGACGGTGAGCTCGTTCAGGAGCGTTCTGCTGTGCTTCCTACCCTCTCGTCCAAGGCAAGTGGGCTCTATTAGGAAGCCTTTTCTGGTGGGCATCTATTCATACAATTTCAAGCCATCAGAATTACCCTAAGTATGTCCCAGTATTTACCATTTTAGCCATTGCTCGGTGCAACTGGAAGTGGCTTCTCTGCAGGATTGGCTTGACATCGATTTTGGCATCTCAGAGGGCGTCGACTTCATCGCTGTGTCTTACGTGAAGTCGCCTGAAGTAGTAAAACATCTCAAAAGCTATATTTCATCCCGTTGTCCAGAGGGGTACGTCCCGCATTTGTTCTACAACCAATACTGCGGATACTTTGTAAGCTAGTGGATCTTCGTATGCGAAATCTTAGTTCTTGATCTTAGATACAGAGATACCAGTGCCTTTCTGTTCGAAAATTATACCTCAGGAGTTTATCATTTGCAGGTCAATCGGTGTGTTTGCGAAGATCGAAGCGATCGATTCCTTGAACTGTTTGGAAAGCATTATACGCGTTTCGGATGGAGCTATGGTGGCCAGAGGTGATTTGGGAGCTCAGATTCCACTGGAACTGGTGCCTTCTGTGCAGCAAAAGATAATTGATCTTTGTCGATTTTTGAACAAGCCGGTCATGGTTGCCTCTCAATTATTGGAATCCATGATCGAATACCCAATTCCAACTCGGGCTGAGGTACGGATCAAGTTTGTACAAATTTTTAGAAATGTAACATTAAGCCAGTCGTTTTCTTCAGTCCATGCACCTTTTTATTACAAAGTATCCTTAATCCACCTTAACTTTAATGATCTAAGATTGGATGATGGACGGACTCTTCATATTGAAGGTTCGAAGTTATAAAAGCATATCTATGCGGGAGAGAATATCTTTTTCAAAGGGGTAAATATTCCTGAACATGGTTAGGATTGGGATTCTTTCTACCTAGAAATCAAGGTATGTGAGTCAACCAGTACTCAGTGGTCATATTCAAAATTTGTACTGATACTCTCGATGAGATGGTGATGGTTGATTCAGGTAGCAGACGTCGCAGAGGCAGTACGACAACGCGCAGATGTTTTAATGTTGTCGGGGGAATCAGCGATGGGTTTGTTCCCAGAAAAAAGTATTGAAGTGCTGCGAAATGTGAGTCTCCGCATAGAGCACAGCTGCCGCGAAGATAAATCAAGAAAGTATAAACCTCTGCCAGAATTGTATACAGCTCTTTCCGAACGCATATCAGAGCAAATCTGTAACGCAGCAGCGGAGATGGGTGAGTTACTACTAACCATTTAGCCAACTAAAACCGAGTTGTAAGAATTTGCGAAGTTTGAAAGCATCTTTGTTTTAACAGAACTTGCTACTTCTCAAGTTTCCAGTCCTGAAGGTTAAGGTGCGGTTTTGAGGAGACTAGCCAAGCTCCTCCACTGTCTACTCAGCCATAAGTCATAGAAGTAAGTGTATGCAGAATATTCGAAGGTGGCTGGAAGTGCGAGCGAGCCCACAGGGCCCGCTTTGGCCCACATTAGCTCAGTTTACTAATTGAAGTGAATGTTCATCGGTGAATTTAGCAATGGTTCGTCTTTGAGATCAAAGATGTCGAAAGTCCGCTTCAAATCAGCTCTCGTAAAATTTTGACGACTAAAGTAAAGAAAATTTGTGCCTAACTATCTTCACGTCTTCCTTTACAGCAAACAATCTGCGTGCGGACGCCATCTTCGTCTACACAAGACAAGGCTACATGGCATCCCTTCTATCTCGAAACCGTCCTGATTGTCCGATCTTTGCGTTCACTGAGACAAGGGATGTTAGACATCGCTTGAATATGCAATGGGGTCTTCTACCATTCCGATTGGACTTTTCTGAGGACATAGAAAGTAATCTGCGCAGAACCTTTGCTCTTTTGAAGGCAAGGGGAATGATGAAAGCTGGGGACCTTGTGATTGCGGTATCTGATAACCTCTTACCCACCCAACAAGCAAACATGCTGCAATCGATCCAAGTGCGGAGGATACCCTGAGAAGGGCAACCAAAACGCCTAGATTTCTCAATGATCTACACATTGCGAAAACGGAGTCAGTTGTTTGCCAACTAGAGTTCGGTCTGAAGGGTTTGGAGAAATGTTGTGTTCAATAAATCTACTTATTTGTCCTCTGTTTTAAGCAATTTTTTGTTTCCTTTGCTGCCTCAAAGTGGTGGCTAGTATCAAATGCACAAAAAATTGCCGGGCTCGATGATAGATGCAGCCAAAAACATTCACTTGTTGAATACTAGACATGGAAACTGTACAACGAGGTACCGACTTGAGAGACAAGTAACACATTTTGCTGTGAGAAAACTAGAGACTGATACCGACTTGACAGACAATTAACACATCTTGCTGTGAGAAAACTAGAGATTGATAGTATAGTTCATAACCATATTCAGCGGAGCGTTGAGCCATGGGTCTCTTCGTTGAGTCCTCTGAAGGACGCCAATCAGAGTGGATGCAGAGAGAACATGCAAATCATTAATGTATGCTTGTATTTTCATTATTATGGTATTTTTGACCTCAATCAAGCGGGCAAAGCATACGTTGGGCTAGCTATGTATTTTCCTTTTCTGTTGAAAAGCAATCTCCAGAGAATCTTGTATCCCGTTGTAGTAGATTTTGGTACATTTGCAAACTGAGAAATAGATTTTCAAATACTCAATATATCTCAAACGAAAATAATAATGATGCAATTGGCGTTTATTCGCGAATGCTTGTCACAGGTCGCAACGTTTGCATTAATCAAAAGTATTATTGAACATAGTCGTTCAATAGGAAACTTGCTCCAAAGATTTTCTCCATTGTAACACATCACTCAAAATGTTACTCGCATAATAGGAAACTTGCTCCAAAGATTTTCTCCACCCTAACTCATCACTCAAACCGTTGCTCGCAAAAATCTTCATGAAACTTACGTCATAATATCAAAATGGCCGTTTTTTTCACCTCACAGCCAAAAATATTATCTCTTCAACAAAAATACAATAGTTGACTTATCAAGGTGTAAGATCGACTCTTACTAGCAAGACTCGTCCAATTTGTTTGGTCACACTAACCAAAAAATTCATATGTTTGAGATATCAAACTATATCCTTGTATTCCCCTAGTTCCTTATCAATGTGGATCGACATTAACATTGCTTTGGAGATATTGAAATATCGTTGGAAATATCCACTTACTTGTACATTCTTGGAAAAAAATCAACATTCTTATGCTTAGTATCTGGGCAATTTACAATCTCAAAGTCAAATTATTGAAGCAAAATTATCCACCAAACTATCCTGTCCGTAGCTTTTGGTTTATTGAGAAAATAAATCGGTGCTTGATGGCTGGTTATTATCCTAGCATTCGTCCCAAGTAAGTAGTGTAAAAATTTATTCAACGCAAAAATAACACCTAGCTCTTATAGTTCTGTCACCGTGTAATTCATCTTTGCCAACGTGAAGTGTCTACTAGTATAGTATATCAACTCATCCAAGTGTATTAACTTTGCGTACACTTATTCTTTGAATGTATTTGAAAAACTAAAAACGGTTTTTTCCAATTCGAAGTTTGTGATGTTGAAGCAATGTTTACTTTAGCTTCTCAAAGGCCTCAAACACCTTCGCTGTAGCTTGCAAAGTAAAAACTTCATACTTCAAAAACCTAGTTAAAGGTGTAGCAATCATGACATACCCAATCATGGCATACCTCAATAATAATCCGTAATTTTCAAAGAAGGTTCTAACCTCACATTTGTTAGTAGAAAATGGAGCTCCTAACATAGTTTTTATATTCTCCAAATCAGTCGAATTCTCAAACTCGGACACAATGTGGTCATACAAAAATCTAATTTTTGTTTTTTCTGCATTTATTGTGATTTCCAAGTCATCCAAGTATTAAAATTATTTTTTTTTACTTCTTGAAGTGCAAAGTCCCATTCTTGTAAATTCCAAAATCATCCGTGAATACTCTTGCAAAGTGTCTTGACTACAATTACTAGATTATATTCATTAGACTTTGAAAGGTAGCTAGAGCAATGCAAAGTCTAAATGACATTAACTCATAACAAAAGTTGTTCCTTGATGAAGTGAAGGTGATCTTCAACCGCGAAATGTGATCTTCGGGCTTTCTCTCAATCAGATTAACTTTAGATGGCTTTTTATAGCTTATCATGGTTCTAGAAGGTAAATATTCTTCAATGTGATAGTGCTTCAAACGTACTCTTACACAAACTCTTAAAATCATCATTCAATTGCAAACATTCATCTGTACTCAAGATGATAGTCAAACTCAATCTTATATTGATGAAGCAAATTCTCACACAATGACCTCTCAAAACTTGAGTGAGAGTCTCTTTTCTACTTCTCTATTTATAATACTTTAAAAATTATCATACTAAAAAATGATAATTACTATCAAATGTTCTATGACAAAGATAAGTCATGGTAGATTTGAGTAATTATCAATATACTATTGGTCTACCTAAACCTTTTAAAATTATTCTAATCCCTAGGTTGGGATAGCAACATGTCATTTGAGACTCTCAAACCTCTAGAACCTTCACTTGTCACTAACTCTACTTTAGACCTAGTTGAACCAATGAAGTTATCATTATTTAATCAAACAAAGTAAAACTAATCATGTAGTTTAAAGTATATATTTTTGAAATCTAAACTGTTGTAAGAAACAAAATATTATTGCTTACTCAAAACTTCTAGAACTATTATAATTATGTTGCCAAGTATAGATTTAGTTAAAGTATTGCCAAGTATAGATGATAGCTAAAGTTAATCATAACTAGACAAATTCAACTAGCGAGATTTAGTCATATTAACTAGATTTGACTTAACATTATCAACTCCTTATCTACTTCTACTACTTCACACATACAACAACCAGTCTTATAGATCTTCGCCTGTGCGCAATAAGTCCGCACTGGTCTGTTCGCACGTCTATGCGCAACTCTATTTGCATGTTATTCTTCAACTTGGCCACGTTTGGCCTACACGGCCTTGCTCGCTCCGCACGGCCCTGATCGCTTTCACACAACGCTGCGCGTTGAAATTTGGAAAGCATTAAGAAAAAAATTGCAAGAAAAACTTGTCAATTTTCTTCTATATGTGTCGTATGATCAAGACTTCGATGTTAGAATCCTATCTGATTTTTGCTAGCGGTATACAAACTCAATCTTTTCTCTTATTGTTCTTAATCCGCGTTGAACTTTTCCGTTGAAACTTTGTCTACTTGTGGTTGCTACTCCATGAAATGAACTTTCAATTCTGGTTCAAGATAAACAATCTTCTAAGTCAACAAACTGTCAGCCTTCTTGTTCTAATGTCTTGACTCGTCCGGTTGCTGCTGAATTCACCTCGTCTCAAACTTTGTCTCAAACTTTGTTTTATAGATTAGGACTGTCAGTTTTTTGCTAAACTCGTCTCGAATTAAAACTTCTTCTCAAAAAACTATAGATTTTGATTCAAACTTTTTGTCAAAAGATTGTTCTTTTTTACTGTCAATTTTTTGCTGAATTCGCCTCGAACTCAAATTCCTTCTGTCACCTCGTGAGAGTCATCAATTTTTGTCAACTTGTATGAACTTTTTATTTAAAAAAAAAAACCATCATCATCGAAAAGTCGTCAAAAATGATTTGTCACTTGTTTCTACAATTTGTATGAATATCACTCTTCCCTTACTCTCGGATTCCCACGTTTAGGTGAAAACACAAGTCTTCAAAAAATCAGAAAAAAATGTGGAAAAAATACTGACAATACAAAGAATGAACAGAAAAAGAACAATTTCTTTCGCAACACAATCAGGTTAGTAGTCTCTAGAATAGAAAAATCCATTGTCACAAACCAGAGCTCTGATATCAATTGGTTAGTCTGAGACACACAAAATAGCCCAGCCAGTTGAAAGTCAAACATATAGTATGTATGAGACATGAAGATAGCGTGATTCACGTAGGTTTAAATTTACGTCCATGCCTAGAACACGCGAGAGAGATTATATTGCAATAGTAAAATGCCTATTATAGTCTGAAGTCACTGGTGATAAGTATCACCGGTTCTGATGACCTGCGACCTTCCTCTATAAATTTTGCCAGGATTGAGATTACTCCTTGAGAGGTATTAAACTCAACAAAAAGTAAGTCCAACATATATAATTTATCAAACTAGAGCTAATAAAAACCATTCCGTAGTGAAAACAAGATAGAATTCAATCATATATAGAGATAAAAAAGTCATTGAACAAACTTTACTTGTGATTTTCATACTTTAAAAATAACAGAATGATCTTATTTAAATTGATATAGAGATATGCCCTCATGCCAACATTTAACACATTTAAATAGATTATTAATTAATTTTTTTGTAATATATCTTCATATTTTATATTAATAATCAATCGAATTAAAAAATGATCTAACCAATTAATATAAACTATAAAAATGCCAAATTGATCAATTTTATTTAGAATTTTGGATAAGAACTAAAAAACATACTAAAATTTTCTATTGCAAAATTTTGATAGTCATTAGATCAAGATAAACGTGCAACATTTGAATTATTTAACTCATGAAAAACTGAATTTTTTCATATACAAATTTTATTTGTTATTTTTTAATTATAATGATTTACGTAAACGAATTGCTAATAATTTAATTTAAATATATTTAAAACATTATTTATTCGAAAAAAATCAAACTTTTGATAAATCTATGAATTTTATCATGAAATTACATTTTTTGCAATTCATATGCTCAAGATTGATAAGATGTTATAAAAATAGAAATTAAGTTAAACACAACAATTTATATGTATGATCTTGTCACAAGATCAAAAAAGTATATAGTTGTGGTTTTTTATTTGATCATCTTTTACGACAATGTGAAATAATTGTTATGTTATGTTAAAAGCAACTTGAAAGAAAGTATGTAGTTATGTGTTTTCATTTGAAATTGTGTGCATTAGTTGAGGATTAACTTTCAATTTTTGCAAAGATTAATCAACACAAATGTTGAATATGAATATATAAGAATAGTAAGAACAGCAAAGAGATTATTTGATTAAAAAACTTGTCATTCAGATTTGGGTTATAGAAGTATTAACAAAATTACATACCACTTTATGAAAATATAGTTTTTCATATAAAAATTATGTAGTCAACGTTGATAATAAACTCAATGAATTGATTTATTAATCAAAGTTACTTCTTTAATATTTTTAGAACATTGTCTTAGTAACAATATATTGGATATAATTCACCAATAGAGTTTATTCATTTTTTACCTTTATATTGACTTTTAATCTGTTTTATTAAAGTAACTATATATCTATATGAGTATACTTTTTTAAGTTATATATATATATATATATATATATACATATGTCCATAAATAATTTTAATTTGATTTTTTTCGGTTTTTTTTATCTTAATTCAATAACTAGATTAATCTATGTCAAATGTGTATAATGGAAACAATTTATTTTTCATAAGCTCATCAATTTCAACTTTTTTATTTATTGCATAAAATTTCTCATAAATAC